AAAACTGTGTCAGACACATTAGAGCACCTTTCCTGTGAAATGTAGACTGAAACGCCTCTTAACAGGTATAAAAGTCCTTTTATACCTTACAGAAAAAAACTGAGAGCAGTGATTGTCTTAAAGGGTTGCTCAACAAAATGTTTGTTTCAGAGCCCTATCATGCTTGTTCACTTGTCAGATTTTTAATGTTTGTTTAACATTTCTTTTGAAACACAATTCAAATTCAGTGTCATGATTTTCATAGAACTTTTATTTATTACTTTGGTCGATTTTAACTTATTTTACAGACAGATTTTTTTTCCCTCTTCTTTATTTAGAGGTTATCAATACTCTCGAGTACCACTGTAATCAGAGTATCCCTGACATCCTAAACGGAATTCTTTCAAGACTTAAAGTATCCATGGCAATGGACATTTCTACAACAGGATCAATCAATGAAGCCCTCCAACATAATAATGAAAGAGAAAATATTGTACCTAACACCATCTGAATTGAAGGGGGGAAAAAATTATGCAGCTCAAAACAACTACAGGTAAAAGCCAGTAAATTAGAATATCTTGAAAAACTTGATTTATTTCAGTAATTGCATTCAAAAGGTGTAACTTGTACATTATATTTATTCATTGCACACAGACTGATGCATTCAAATGTTTATTTCATTTAATTTTGATGATTTGAAGTGGCAACAAATAAAAATCCAAAATTTGTGTGTCACAAAATTAGAATATTGTGTAAGGGTTAAATTTTGAAGACACTTGGTGCCACAAACTAATCAGCTGATTAACTCAAAACACCTGCAAAGGGCTTTAAATGGTCTCTCAGTCCAGTTCTGAAGCCGACACAAACATGGGGAAGATTTCAGATTTGACAGCTGTCCAAAAGGCGACAATCAACACATTGCACAAGGAGGGAAAGACACAAAAGGTTGTTGCTGAAGAGGCTGGCTGTTCTCAGAGCTCTGTGTTCAAACACATTAATAGAGAGGCAAAGGGAAGGAAAAACTTTGGTCAGAAAAAGTGTACAAGCGATAGGGATCACCGTGCCCTAGTCAAGATTGTGAAAAAAAACCCATTCAAAAATGTGGGGGAGATTCACAAGGAGTGGACAGCTGCTGGAGTCAGTGCTTCAAGATCCACCACCAAGAGACGCTTGAAAGACATGGGTTTCAACTGCCGCATACCTCGTGTCAAGCCACTGTTGACCAAGGAACAGTGTGAAAAGAGTCTCACCTGCGCTAAGGAAAAAAAGAGCTGGACTGCTGCTGAGTGGTCCAGAGTCATGTTTTCTGACGAAAGCAAATTTAGCATTTCCTTTGGAAATCGAGGTCCCAGAGTCTGGAGGAAGACAGGAGAGGTACAGGATCCATGTTGCCTGAAGTCTAGTGTAAAGTTTCCACCATCAGTGATGGTTTGGGGTGCCATGTCATCTGCTGGTGTCGGTCCACTCTGTTTCCTGAGATCCAGGGTCAACGCAGCCGTCTACCAGCAAGTTTTAGAGCACTTCATGCTTCCTGCTGCTGACCTGCTCTATGGAGATTTCAGGTTCCAACAGGACTTGGCGCCTGCACACAGCGCAAAATCTACCCGTGCCTGGTTTACGGACCATGGTATTCCTGTTCTAAATTGGCCAGCCAACTCCCCTGACCTTAGCCCCATAGAAAATCTGTGGGGTATTGTGAAAAGGAAGATGCAGAATGCCAGACCCAAAAACGCAGAAGAATTGAAGGCCACTATCAGAGCAACCTGGGCTCTCATAACACCTGAGCAGTGCCAGAACTCATCGACTCCATGCCACGCCGCATTAATGCAGTAATTGAGGCAAAAGGAGCTCCAACCAAGTATTGAGTATTGTACATGCTCATATTTTTCATTTTCATACTTTTCAGTTGGCCAACATTTCTAAAAATCCCTTTTTTGTATTAGCCTTAAAGCTACAGTGTGTAATAATTACAGGGATATACAGTCAGAAATGTAATATATTATACATAACTATGTTATTTATCATCATCTACGAGCTCAGCCTCTTAACCTTAACATTTGCGTTGCCTTAGAATTCGTTATTTATAATTACATAGGAGCGGGTCTCGCAGCCATGGAGGCAGACATCTTTGCGCTACGGCAGCGCAGAGCCAACAAACTAACACGGAATTTTGGATTTTCATTTGTTGCCACTTCAAATCATCAAAATTAAATGAAATAAACATTTGAATGCATCAGTCTGTGTGCAATGAATAAATATAACGTACAAGTTACACCTTTTGAATGCAATTACTGAAATAAATCAAGTTTTTCAAAATATTCTAATTTACTGGCTTTTACCTGTATATTGCTCCTTGCAGAATCAATCTATCTATATCAAATGAAAGATCAATTTCTGTGGAAATCAGCACAGTGAGGACCATGTTACATTTCTTTAGTGTTTAAAATAATTCAACCTGCACTGTAAAGTAAGAAGTACACCCGTAGGCATACAAGTTTTAAAGACCTCTATATATGCAATGATGCAGCAGTTGTGATCTTTCTCAGTGATCCATACAAAGTTTTCACTACCAGCTTGGTTCCTACCAACAGCCATTATCCTCCAGAACTTTTGTTGAATCAGAAGAGGAAACACACACAACCAAAAGACCTACCATAACAACCATAACAATTGACTTCAACTGAATAATAAAGTATTAATTTCATCTCCAATTTGTACCGTCTATCTAAACCAGTGGTTTTTAAACTTTTTCTGCAGGTCCCCCTTTTCCATGGTAATTATAATGTTAAGCCCCCCCCTCCCCACCACCGGTATCACATGAAAAAATGCACAGAATCTGGCCAGGCACAATACCTTTTGTTCTGTGATAATTTGTTAATTAGTAGTTTAAAAAATGTAACAATTTTTTTGTTAGAAGAGCAAAAAAATTGCAGAACCACTGCTCTCAACCTAATCATCAAGTTATACCTGTCATGCATTATGTGACTTAGCCCTTGCCATTCGGTTTCCTCCTCTATCCCTTGCACCAATAAGCCACTTGGATGCTGCCTTTTCTGCCTCTTTTCTTGTGATCTGGCTGGTGAGAGCATTTCTTTTCAAACTGCCTGAAAAGAACAAAGAACAGGAGACTATATTCTACACTACAAAAAGTAAACTAAACATAAGTAAATAACTTATTAAAAATAAGTAGAACATGAATTTAATATTCTTGAAATAAGAGTATTTTGCCTTAATTTGGTAAATAAGATTATCTGTTAATGGAATGAGCATTTTTAAAATAAGATAATTATATATTACTATAAGATAACAGCTGCTCTAAGGAGTCCTTTGCAATATGAATATTCTGCACACTAATATTGTGATGCATTTCTATTTTATATTGTTGTTTTAATGTTTATTATGTTTTCAATGTCTGTGTACAGTGACCTTGTGTGTTTTGATAAGACGCTTTTAAATAAAATGCATTATTTTATTATATGTTATGCAGCCCTACTCTGTACATATTAGAAAGTTTTTATTCTCAACAAAGCCTGGTGTAAATAAAAGCATGTCATTCAAAGATTGTTAACTTCTGCTCATCTAATGTAAACAGTGTAATTTGAGTACTTCTTTTAATCTAGAAATACTTAAAAAATTAAGCATTTTTCTGCATGTAAACTTTAGCTAATGATGAAATTGTTTGGAATTACAACTACAGTTTGAGTGAGAATCTATCTTTTGAACATCAAGATTTTGTGAAATACAATTCATAAGCTTACCATATAGCACTTCAAAAAGCTTAAGGCCTCTAAATTCCCGCTTTCCATGGCGCCCAATAAAGTTATATTCCCTAGAAAGGGGATTATCCATTATGAAAGCCATCATTCTGGTAGCTTCATCAACTGTACTTCCTCCAATCTCTGCCACAACAGCAACCTTAGGACAAAAGATAAAATAAATTTTACTAATCGTACTTACAGTCAGCTAAAATTACAAAACTTCATCTACACAGTCATGACAATATTGAAATTATCTCAATTAGAGTGTTGAGTGTCAAGTCTAAAAGTCTGATGCAATGAGTTAAGTGATAATGAACCAAAAAAAAAAAAAAAAGGATTGGTTTTGGCATTGCATTAATGACTAGGTAGCATTTACAGAAAAAAAAAAAAAATCAACTTTTGTACATCTCTATCCACTCCTTCATTCCACTGAAAATGTTTGAATAAACAGCAACTCTCCTTGATTATACACAGGTGGTCGTAAAATTAAAAAAATTTAGGCACATAAAATTAAAAAAATGTAGGCACAGAATAATTCATATTTACCACTTCTTTCAGGAAGACAGGATCTAATAACTTTTGCTCCAGTGCTTCCACATCTTGGACTGTCTGGAGGGGAAACGGAGCACCCTCGGGTAACACAGCAGCAACTGGTCCATCGCGTTGTTTCAGCAGAGACTGTAGCATTCGACTATGAACCCTCTGAGTGTCTTTGATGTCCTCCAAAAGGGTTAGAACATGTACAAACATGTTGGCATTTGTGTCCTGTACAAGTCGTTGTGGATTTGGTTGTGTAACCACAGGGGAAGGCCTTGTGGGTGTTGGTGGCTGAACAAATGGATGGGTGACATTCGGGTGGGGAGTTATCCTTGAAGATCTCTCCTCTGCTGATGACAGTGTTGAGGTTTCTTGTTGTTCTGCAGGATCGTCCCACTCATCTGAGCTGGACAGAACCACTGGCCTTTAAATAAATGAGAAAATTATTTAAAAACCATGAGATTTTGAACTGCTTATAGGTATAAAGATAAAGTAGCTGTGACAGACACTGTGGATGAGATAGCTAGTTTGAAACAAAACCGGCAAAGCAACACTACATTGGGCTACATCTGGTTTGTAGAAATTATATTTCCATTTTTTTACTAGAGCTACAACAGCAAAAAACTTCAATCTGATGTTAGTGTTTTGTTTTTTTATAATATTGTTAATACACTGTTTCTTTTAGGTGCTTTTAAAAAGGAAATAATTACCTAATCTTTCGCTTTCCTTTTCCCAATCTCCCTCCAGAATCTGACTCGGTCTGCAGATCAGATGTTGTCTCAGACCTCCGCAGTTTTACTCTGGCACTTTCATAGCTCTCTGTAAAACAATAACATACAATACAAAACAGAATGTTGTTGATAATTACAGCAACATTTCTTCTTCTACCTTTAATGAAAAAATATTTGAAGATAATGAGGCTTCTCACCAGCTTTCCCCAAGATGCGAACTCTGTACTGTGGCCAGTCTGTATTTGGAGAGATTTCATCCCTTACCACCTTGTTGATATTTACTCTCCCTGGTGGCCAGAAACAAGAGTCTTCTGCTGGTCCTGTAAACCACTTGCAAGGAACAATGGATACACCCCCACCATCCAGAAAATCAACAACAGCAAATGGCAGCATGCTGGAGGGAAAGAAAAAGAAACATCTAGAACAGCAGTGGCAAAACTACAAATCCAGACTTCAGTGGCAACAGCACCATTTTTTGTTTCAACTTATCAACTGATACAACATGCATGTTTTTAGACAAATTTGCAACAAAGTAAATGCCAAGGCATGTTGAGTCCAATGGGTAGGTGAAAAAAGCATTACAGTTTTCAAAGACCTGACAGAGTGCTTTGACAGCTTGACCATCCTGTAAAATGTTTGTCACAATAACAATTCTTCCTTCTATATTGAAACAGTTATCACCCTTGGAACAACACACCAATATCTGTCCATCAGTGTATTTCCTGAACTGCTTACAGGTTCCAAGATCACTTGTTATTGGTCCAGAGTTATGGGGCTGTTTAGGAGGAGAGGAAACAGAAATATTTTTTCTTTTTTTTGAAAGTCTGTCTTTCATACAGGTGCTGGTCATAAAATTAGAATATCATGAAAAAGTAGATTGATTTCAGTAATTCCATTTAAAAAGTGAAACTTGTATATTATATTCATACATTACATACAAACTCATATATTTCAGATGTTTATTTGGTTTAATTTTGATGATTACAAATGACAACAAATGAAAATCTCAAATTCATCATATCAGAAAATTAGAATATTACTGAAGACCAATAAAAACAAAGGATTTATAGAAATGTTGGCCAACTGAAAAGTATGAACATGAAAAGTATGAGCATGTACAGCACTCAGTATTTAGTTGGGCCTCCTTTGGCCTGTATTACTGCAGCAATGCGGCGTGGCATGGAGTCGATCAGTCTGTGGCACTGCTCAGGTGTTATGATAGCCCAGGTTGCTCTAATAGTGGCTTTTAGCTCTTCTGAATTGTTGGGTCTGGTGTATTGCATCTTCTTCTTCACAATACCCCATAGATTTTCTATGGGGTTAAGGTCAGGAGAGTTTGCTGGCCAATTAAGAACAGGGATACCATGGTCCTTCAACCAGGTACTGGTAGCTTTGGCACTGTGTGCAGGTGCCAAGTCCTGTTGGAAAATGAAATCTGCATCTCCAAAAAGTTGGTCAGCTGCAGGAAGCATGAAGTGCTCTAAAACTTCCTGGTATGTGGCTGCGTTGACCCTGGACCTCAGAAAACACAATGGACCAACACCAGCAGATGACATGGCACCCCAAACCATCACTGACTGTGGAAACTTTACACTGGACTTCAAGCAACGTGGATGAAGTGCCTCTCTTCTTTTCCTCCAGACTCTGGGACCTTGATTTCCAAAGGAAATGCAAAATTTACTTTCATCAGAGAACATGACTTTGGACCACTCACCAGCAGTCCAGTCCTGTTTCTCTTTAGCCCAGGCAAGACGCTTCTGACGCTGTCTGTGGTTCAAGAGTGGCTTGACACAAGGAATGCGACAGCAGAAACCCATGTCTTTCATACGTCTGTGTGTGGTGGTTCTTGAAGCACTCACTCCAGCTGCAGTCCACTCTTTGTGAATCTCCCCCACATTTTTGAATGGGTTTTGTTTCACAATCCTCTCCAGGGTGCGGTTATCTCTCTTGCTTGTACACTTTTTTCGACCACATCTTTTCCTTCCCTTCGCCTCTCTATTAATGTGCTTGGACACTGAGCTCTGTGAACAGCCAGCCTCTTTAGCGATGACCTTTTGTGTCTTGCCCTCCTTGTGCAAGGTGTCGATGGTCGTCTTTTGGACAACTGTCAAGTCAGCAGTCTTCCCCATGATTGTGTAGCCTATAGAACTAGACTGAAAGACCATTTAAAGGCTTTTGCAGGTGGTTTGAGTTAATTAGCTGATTAGAGTGTGGCACCAGGGGCCATCAATTTTGAACCTTTTCACAATATTCTAATTTTCTGATATGATGAATTTGAGATTTTCATTTGTTGTCATTTGTAATCATCAAAATTAAACAAAATAAACATCTGAAATATATGAGTTTGTATGTAATGTATGAATATAATATACAAGTTTCACTTTTTAAATGGAATTACTGAAATCAATCTACTTTTTCATGATATTCTAATTTTATGACCAGCACCTGTACTTTCATCCTTTTGAATTTAGTCACAGACTTAGAAAACTAAAAGTTGTATTTGAAGTTTAAAAAGTTTGATTTCAATTTATCCACTTCAGGTGTAAATTAAATTTTCAGAAAGTGTAAGTCTGCAAAGGTTAATTACTGTTACAGTTAAAAACCAAAGGATTCAAACCTATGGCAGAGTTATATTTAAACTTTAGTCAAATTACTTCCATTCAGTAACAAAGTTGGGTTTTGGAAAGAACATTAAATGTGAAATAGTGAATGTATGATTTGTTATGTAAAATATCAATCTGCTAGAAAAATTCATCCATTGAGGCTTCTGGACATAGAAAGGAAGTGGGGACTGGCACCAGAATTACATTGCTCTTATTAAATTAAAGATGCTGCATTTATATATTCAGTATATTCATTTGTATGTAATGTATGAATATAATATACAAGTTTCACTTTTTAAATGGAATTACTGAAATCAATCTACTTTTTCATGATATTCTAATTTTATGACCAGCACCTGTAGATGCGTTTGACAATTTGTTCCACTGGTTTCTGAGGTTTCCGCACAATTTTTTTCAGTTTTCCCAGGAAGGATTCAAATGGGAAGCAGGAAATGCTGTCCAAGGGGCCAAACTTTCGTGCATCTTGAGAAAGGTGTATTAAAGAATGTACATTATAGCCAACAAATTCAAGACCATAAATTAAACCAAAGTCTTTCACAAACAGCTTCAAAATATCCTCTACATAATCACAGTTATTAATACACAGATTCGGACTTAGAATTATTCTTATAGATACAGATAAAAGCATAAAGTGTCTATACATTTGGCTTGGTATTTTATTAAATAGAACAACTGGACCTGTGTAAAGTAGAAATTGCCTCAGTTCAGTTGCTTTCCACATGCTAATTTCAAGGAGAGACCTTGGTTTCCGTGCAAAACTTTTAGGCAAGTATTGCCTGACAGAAATCCTAAATGCTGATATCATTGTAAGAATTTGCATAGACTGTCTGCAGTTTCTTGGACCCTTTAGCCAAAGATAGATGAGCTTGCGCATTACCCCCAGACACACAAGGTGCATGTAGTCCAGCACAAAACTTCACGCCTATCTCATTCAAAGGTGACACGCCAACCTGGTGTTCTTTGTAGGCCATAGCACGAAAGGCCTCATCAGTCCTTGGCTTAGCAGAAACTTCAGGAAAACATAGTCTTCGATTCATATATACACCTTTTTGAGTGCAACGCTCACATGCATAATAGCCAGTGTGTCCCTTAACAGATTTAAGAAAAGCACGAGCTGGAGCATCACAAATGAATGCATCTGGAGCAGCAACAGTGAAATGAACACCATTATACCAAGGGCGTAGGTTTGATTTCAACTTTGGTAGTGACACTATTCTTCAGTTTCATTGGTCCTTTGCAAAAATATGCATGCTCTTTTTTATGCTTAATGTGAGCTTCAGGGCTCATTTTGTTTAAAGAGAACAGCAGCATTTCTTGCTACATTAATACAAATATTATAAACACTACATGCACTAGATGCTGTTTATCAATATTTAAAGCATAACTGGCTCTGATGAATGTGGAATTAGGACTTTTTCCACTTTGAAAAGGATTGAATTTAAATTTATCTGCGACTAAGACAGTGTCTGTTTAACCAAATATAGTCTATAATATGTGGATTTATCCTGTTTTCTTTTGATGATATAGAATTGTGCAGAGGTAAAACCCACTCTTATTTTTTTTTATCTAATATGCTCTCTCTGGATCATGCAAAATAATACATTTAAGGGACAGCATATAAATGTATTGTATTTACATGTGCACTGGAACTAGAAGAGGAACTGACACTGAGCATTTAAAATATTAATATTAGAATTTGTACATCTGGGCTGTAGTTACTCTGTGTAGCTAATTTCATGTATTTTATCTATGGCTGAAACAATTAATCATATTAACAAATTATTTAAATAATCGTGAACTATGTACAGTAATTGATTAATCGTAAACTGGAGTATAGGGCCACTAAAATGTGCCTTTAGCCGACAGAGCGACCCTTAGAGCAGGAATTATACCAAGATTGTAAAATATATGTAAACATTTTGCATTTAAGATGTAAAAAAAATAGTTTTTGTCTGTCAATATTCTCCATCCAGAACTCCTCCAAAGGAAACGTTAAAACTTTTCTGTTTCACCTGGTTTAATTTCATAAAAGATCTTCTTTAAGGAGCCTTTGGCTGATCTGATTAAAAGATAAAATAAAAGAAATCCTAACGTTGTTAACTTACATTTTTCAAGTTCCACAAATCAAAAAACTCTCTCCTGCTTCTTTACAGAATTCCAATTAGAAGCTTTCGCCAGTTTTAGCGTAGATAATATATTTTTTAATTCGGACTAGTTTCGTAGCCCAATATTAATTTATTTTAGAGTCTTTTTTTTCGCGCTCCAAGCACCCGCGCACGCACATACAGACTAGAAAACACGCAATCAGAAAGAGAGAAGGCGGAACTTAAGGCAGAATAATCAGAGTTAAACCGCACAGCACAGTTGATGCGCTGCTATGTGAAAGGGACAGGAAAGAGCAGGCAGCTGCAGCTACCAGGCAGAGAAGCTGCGAGAGGAAAAGAAGCGGCTGCTGTATAGTAAATTATAAACATGTTTTTCACATCCAATTATTGGTAGGGACAAATAGGTCCTTCCAAAATTTTGGTAGGGACATGTCCCTATGGTCCCTATGCAAACCTACGCCCATGCATTATACTGAACCCCCACTTGCATAATTGCATGTAGATCTTGTATAAACTCCTTCAAGTACTCATGAACATTAGAGGGTTTAGTCATACCAGAGTAAAGGCCAATCACAAAAACATCAGAATTTGGAATCTCCTTGATTCTACCAAGAATAGGCCACAGACTTACATTGTTGCTGCGGAATAAAGGTAGACCATCCACATTTATTCTAAGTGTTATAGTATCCGTTAGTTCTTTTAGATCAAAATCTAAATTTTCCAGTGCTGCAACAATTGAATTCTTCACTCCAAAATGGTAGTATGATCCCCCAGCCACATTTATCACATTACATTTCCGTGTAGTTGACATCAATGTTCGAGCATCTAATGGTACATTAAGACCTTTTTGCCTAAGAATTTTAAGAAGGGCAGACAAAGCATTATGTGAGACATTGTGTTCTGCAGCCCACTCAGCAAGTTCTTTTGTATCATCTGGTGTGTCTGAAAAAGCATCTGAATCTGTACTATCATCCAGATCAAACTCATTAAAATGACACCCCTCAGTTTCAAGGTCTTCTGGAAATATTTCAGAATCCAAAGCATCATAAAAAATATCTGTAGATTGTTCATTCTGTGGACTGACTCCAGTATCTTCGCTATCATGATGTATATCCTGAAGCGGTTCATTCACAAAATAATCAAAGTCTAGATCATGCTCTGCCTCATTCTGCTGGGAAGCAAGCCAAAAATGTTCAGCAACTTTTGCAGCTATTTTTCTTCTCTTTGTCCTCTCAGACTGCTCCGTTTATTTTATGGAAAACAAATGGTGTGGAATTAGAAAGGGGTAAAATGCAAAAATGTTTTGGTCACTTTGGTAACAACCTCCATAAGTTACACTATCACAAAGTCTTTAATCATGAACACTATCAACATACATTTACATGTAATCATATTTTCTTTGTCCAAATGTATAGCATTACTTGTGTTTTAGACATAAAGAAACAACCAGCTTCTGGTGGGGGGGGGGGGTTATTGCTGTTGTTGGTCCTTTAGCTTTAAAAAAAAAAAACTCAGATGCCAACTTGGGCACAGATCATTTATAAAATGAAATAAATAAAAAAAAGCTGTCCAGTGCATCAATTAATTTTTCTTCCTCCAGCTCAGGGTTTCTTTTCATTTTTTTTTTCTACAGATTTTCTTTGTCATTTCATTAGCTGATCTAAACCCCCGCATCCTGTCTTTAAGTCAAACAGGCTTGGAACTTTCAACAACACCATCTCACAAGCAAATTACCACTGCTTTCCAGGTAAAGTCCACATTGCTATTGAAAAGAAATATACAGAAAATTCTTTGTCCCATTCGGTTCTTTATAACAACCTATTCATTTCTAACATATGGGTATAAAATTATAAGCAAAGGTGATAAAATGCACATTAAATATTAAACAGTCTGGACTACATTCTGCTCTACTGGATAAATTATACAGCCTGATATGCATTTTCTATGGTACAGCCACCTCCTTAGTCCTTAATTTTTTTTAAATTAACTTAGAACACTGTATTCCTCAAAAATATCAGCATTTCAAACTGGAATACATAGACAGATCTTAGAAACAATTTTAATCTGTTAAATGTATTTAAAAAATAAATAAATAAATATATATATATATATATTTTTTTTTTTTCTGGGAATGCAATTTTAATCTGTTTAATGTATTTATTTAAAAATATATATATATATATATATATGTTTTATGGGAATGCATTTTGTTTATTTACTGTTTATCTCTTGCATCATTTATATCTATGTTGAATACCAAATCAATCGTTCAACAGATTTAAAATAACCCTACTAAATCCATCTCTAGAGGTTTTTGGACAGACGGCTTAATAGGTATTTCTGTTCTTACATTTAACATTTCTCTAAGACCATTAAACAGCCCACAATGTGCCACTGAAAAACACTCTGATCTATCATTTCCTTAGTACTCATACCCATCTAGCCGTTCAGTGAATTTACCTCTTCACTACTAACGCTGTTGTAGTATATCTGATCCAGCAGGTGCGCGATACTTTGTTTGTAGGCAACATTCACAGCAGCGCATGAACTGGCCCGATCAGCTCCCGCCATTTTGCTAGATTTAATAATCCCTGCCACCTGCGCGACTCGACCCCATCCATAAACGGAAACGAGGGATGGATTTTTTTTTTTCCTTTTATTGTTGCTAGGCTTAATGGTGATGTGTTTGAGTGCAACGGATAGACATTTATGGATGAAAATAAGGAACAGATTGAAGAAGATGCCAAATAAAAAGAGACTCCATGATTATATTTTTCAAGGGGAAAATCACAATTTTCTAGGAGGTAACCAGCACAGACTTTAATGCTCAGACATGAAAAAGCTTTTATGGATAAGCCTTGACCTAACAAATTCGTGCATGTTCTAATCCTCCCCTTTTTTAATAGGTAAAAAAAAAAAAAAATACCTTTCTTTACAACCTTAGCACATTTCAATAATTTCTGATATACATAGATTCAAGAGAAATAAAAAAAAACTTACCTTTACAGCAGAAAACTTGTTCTTTTATTCCACTTTGTCCAGGAAAAATACCAGCTCTAACATTCACTCCGTCCAAAGGCGCGAAAAGAATCTTCCAGAGGGGAGGGGGTTGAAAACAACTCGCGATATTTCCAGAAATATCGCGCGCGTCAAAAAAAATACCTCTAGATATAAAATATCTTTAACTCAGTTTTGAATTATTTTTTTTTCCTAGAAGCATCTTACAATTTACAATATGTTTTTTATGTGGATCACTATTATATTCTATACTTTTATTAATCAAATATTAATTTAAGCATAGCTGTTTTAATATCTTAAATTATGGCGCCCCTGCATAATTTATTAGACATTATTCCATGAATTATTTTCAAATTAAAACATTTTTAAAAATTATATTTAAGTCAGCTATACCAACACTTATTTGCCAGTTGTTACCCATCTGGTGCCCATAGAGTATTGCCCATCTGGGCTGGCTCATATCGGTCCTACATTGATCACCCAAGTGGGTCCCACTTTGGATGCCCATTTACAGCCCATGCCCACTTGGATCCCCCATTGACCAAGTAAATCCCATGTGGGGCCCACACACATGTGTTTGCTGGGTAGATCCTGCAGAGGGGCCAAGCAGTGCACCTTCGGGTTGGAGCAAACCTATGATGACACCCAGCAGGCAGCCTGAGGATCAACCGATGATGACACCCAAAAGGCGGCCTGATGATCAACCACCATCACCTACTGGGAAGCCACTGTCCATCTCGTCATCACCGGGGATCCCTCTTTGTTTTTGTATATTCTGTTTTCTGCATTCTATCAGTTTAACATTTACACATTCTCCACCACATCTTATATTACTCACTTCTACTATATGGTGTGTGTTTAATCTCACGTTTGGTTTGGTGTGCACAATATATATATTTATAAACTTTTGTCACTTGTGTGAGCTCACATTTAAGGTGTTTTAGATTAGTCATCACCTGCATAATCACGTAGTTGATCCTTTTTAGGATCAAAGGGGGGAATGTTGTGTATTAATCTGCACTAATCATAAGATAAAATAAAGTTAATGTTTTATAAGTTTAAAGTTGTTTTCACAAATAGTGTTATAAGAGCCATTCAAGGCCAAAATGAGAAAAACAGAGCAGTGAGTATTATAAGAGCCATTCAAGGCCAAAAGGAGAAAAACAGAGCAGTGAGTGTGTGTAGCCATTGCACCTGGCCCTAAAGGAGTGGAATCTGCAGGAGAACGCAGGGTTGAGGCCCCTTAGTGATAAGAAGCACACTCATTAAAATGAAACATTTGACATCTCAAGGTTGCCCAGCTCAGCAAAATTTGGCCATACAACTTGTGATAAATAGAGTTGTTATTTTCAAGGCACACGGAGCGGTAATGGTCCCAGAAAGGGTGATGCTTTGACTGAGACACGAGGGGGGAGCACTAGGCCAGACTGACATGGCTTGAAGTAAGGAAAGGATGTATTCCAACATGTTTGTGATTAAACTGTCATAAGTTTCTGATTTGAATGCACCAGATGTTTTCATGGCCTGAGAGATTGCTCTCACAAGAATGAGATGTGTCTATGAATGTCACTGTGATTTGCAGATAAATATCAATGTGACCTTTACCAAAGACTGAAATATGTTCTGAAGGGGGTTTTCCACCGATAAGAAATGTATAAAAGGGAGCTGTCTTCACCATTTGTTCAGCTGATGCTCACTGGTGACCAGCTCCGTGTGAATGTGTTGTGTTTAGCAATAAACACACTGGACCTGGACTCAGCTGCCTCTGCCTGAATTTTTTGATCTTTGTTTGAGACTTTTTCTGCTTTTTAAGAACTTTGAATTTTTATAAAACTTAGCTTCAATTTTAAGTCGTCAAGAAGAGAATTATAGACGACAACGCTCCGCCATGACTTCCACGCGCGTCCTCCTGACTGCAGCGGCAGGTTCAGCGGTGAGAGGGAGGGGGCGGGATTCAGCGTGTGTGAGCTGTGATTGACACTCCATCAGACTCTCCTCTGGCTGTGATTGGTTGTTTTGTCTCGTCCCGAAATATTCTTTCCAGATTGCAATACAGGCAGTAGGCGGGACCAATTGAAGCAGTTTTTTTCACAGGTTACATATCACATGTACTGCTGTCTGGGCATAGGGACAGTTTTAGCCAATATGACAAAAAAGTGATTTTTAAAAACTTACAGACTTCAGCTTTAATGTGTTTGTATCATGTATTATCCCTCAAAGAAAAAATAGCCTGAACAGCATAGTTAAGGTCTGTAGTAAGGTAACAGGAGTCCAGATGTCAGACCTGAGCTCTGTTTGGAGGATTGGAATTGCTTAGAAAACTAAATCCATCCAGAGAAAGACTAACCATATTCTGAGAGCAACAGAGAACAGCAGCGTTATGTTGTTGCCAAACAGGAAACCAACAGATACTCAAACTCCTTTATTCCCTTCCCTCAGCCATTCAGCTTTTAAACTCTGTTGGCCAGAACCAAAACATGTTGCTGTTGTTTTTATTTATTTATTATAATCATTTATTATTATTATTTTTTATATCTCAGCTGCACAGACAGTGTGTCTGGAATGTGGTTCAGTAAGAATGTTGTAAACTGTATAATTTGTTGATTGGTACTGACCAGAGAGATGGTAATTGAATTGCCCTGTTTGGGATAAATAAAGTTGTTTGATTTATTGATTAAAAATGTTGTGTTAATAGGCTGTGTAAAAAATATTAAGTTAAGGGTACGATCAGGCCTATTTCATGGGTTTATTTTTTTGAAATAATTCTGTCAAGGGTGGTAAAAAGCACTGTTGATTTTTTTTTAGTTATAACTTTTGTCAGATTCCAGTTAGTTCGGTGACTCTTCCGGGTTTTTCTTTCATGTTCACACACGAATCCCAGTTTGACTGTTATGTAGCATTAGAACATTTGATATTACTATATCTTGTTGTCTTTAACAGTTTTGTTTTTTTTGTTTTGACTCTATACCAAAAGAAAAGAAAAAACAGTTTAAATAAAATCAATAATATTTGAAGTTTGTAGAAGGTCTCTCACACACAGGGGTGAATTCCACACGATGCATCTCCTTTTTTTTTTTTTTTTTGTTAGCCCTGCTGGCCCCATTTTGTTTTGTCTATTTTTTTTTTTACTGTTTTTGAAAATTGACTGTCAGGAAATGGGAGTTGAGTGGGAAGAGCAGGTAGCAGAAGTCAACAGGCCAGGGTTTGAGCCTGTAATGGCCATGTCAAGGACTAAGACCTTCATACAGTACACAAGTTGTGCACTTAACCCCTGCAAAGAAGATAAGAGGACCTTCAGGGTTAATTCATTGTATTTTAGGAGGAGGTTCAGTGAAAGGTTCTGAGTTTGATCCTGGATGTGAAGATGTGGGACAGACCAGCAGGTGAACAGTACATGTATGCACTTTAAGGATTCTGTTTAACAGCTGCTAAGAAGATAGGAAGTCAGATTTCTTTTACAAGAACTGAGGAGGAAAGAGATTTCAAACCATTCAAAATTTCATTGACTTTTATATATCTAATTTTGCTTTTAGAATCATGGGGTGGCTTTTTCTAATCTCCTGCGGTCATTGGCCAAGATGATGGATAGTGTGAAAAGGCAGCCCTCCCTTTTCACAAATGCCACAGAACAGCACGCTACAATGTAGCTGGCTAACGTCACACACACCTGCACACACCTCCATACACAAGCGCGCACACACGAATCTGAGACTTTCACTCGCGGAGCCGGCAACCGCATATGAGAGCTCTTTGTCACGCCAACACTCCAAAAACTTTCAGTACTTACCTGAGTGACCAGCCATCGCAGCGTTCGGTGAGGTACCCGCCGATATCGCTCCATAATCCCATACCGCTCCAGTTTCCACACATTGCACACACAAACACAAACGCGCACACACACTTCCTGGTCCGACAACTTCTCCTCCCCTGGGAAACACGAACTGTGGGTAGGGGAATAATTTATGTCTCATTCAGCCAATCAGAGGCTTTGATTACCTGACGGGGTGAAACTGAGTGTTTGATGCATTTAAAATGCTATTTTTAGGTGTAATGTTGATGTAATGAGAAATGTGTTTTATTGAATGTATGCATACAGTAATGTGGTTAATGTAGATTGCTTAGGCATGTAATTTAACAGTGAAAATGAAGTAGTGCATTGTTTCAGCTGTACCTTTTTTTTCTTGCATAGTGGTCTCATCCAATCAGTCAGTGATTTAGTCCAGTAGGCATGCAATTTGCCAATTATGTCTGTTTGTATAAAAACCCTACTTTTTCCTCAGTTTGTGGGTTGGATGCTAGGAGAAAGGTTGGTGCCTGAGACTGTCGTGTTCAAAAGAGGTATTGCTCTCTGTGCTTAGATTTATTATTAGTTATTATTTTGAACAACCATCGTGTTGATTTTGTTTATGTTTTGGAAAGTCTTTTTGTTACTGCACTTTTTGGTTAGAGCACTGTAAATAAATATACACCACGTCATTTGCACTGGACCTCCTTGTTGAGTGCTTTCATTCCATTTGGGTGGCCATCCTGCAGTGAAACCTGAGCCAGAGGGCTCACCAGTTTCACATTTGGTGTCAGGAGTGGGATCGTGGCGCCGACACGAAAGTCAACAAGAAAGAAGTGCAAGCAGAGTGAGATGGCTTACAGGAAGTTGAAGAAGACCAACCCCCTGGGTCCAGGTGAGGAAGAGGTCGAAGGAGCCATAGGAGGAGAGCAACAGACACAACCTGATGACGACGACAGGCCGCAAGAAGCACTCAACCTTTCAGACCTGTACAGCCTACTGCAACGGTCCATGCGGACGCAGGAGAAAGAGAGGGAGAAACAAGAGCAGCGGTGGCGCAACATTCAAGTTCAACTGGGTAACGTCCGTGATGAGCTGGAGGACCATCGCAGGAGTTCCAGGGGAGGGCAGCAGCAGCAGCAGCCAGATGGAGCAAAGCCAGCAACCCTCCCAGCGGCAGCGACCCTCCAAGCAGCGGCGGCGCATCCAGCGGCAGCGACCCTCCCAGCAGCGGCGGCGCATCCAGCGGCAGCGACCCTCCCAGCAGCGGCGGCGCATCCAGTGGCAGCGACCCTCCCAGCAGCAGCGGCGCATCCAGCGGCAGCGACCCTCCCAGCAGCAGCG